AGGGTTTCCAGAATCATTATTAGGTAAAGCTTGAATGAGGTTCTGACTTGTTAAAACCTCAGCGACTTTGTATTCATCATTCCCTCTAGAGATGTTATCTTGCTCAACGCATACCAGAAATTGGTATGTTTTCCCAATGATGTTTTTAACAACATCGGGCAATGGTTGGGGTTCATCAATCTAATAAGATATGAAATAGTGTCAGGATCATTTAGTTATTAACTCATCCCAAAAATTGTTGAATTATGTATTAAATATAAAACAAAAATACCTGTTCATTTGTGACATCCAAGAGTTCAGTAGCAAGACACCCGATGATTGGCTCGACAAAACTATCAAACAACATTAGTTTGCTCTCACCTGTGGTATCCATAATGTCTAAGTGGAGCCAATACCTAAGAAAATAAGCCTCTTAATCATGTTAACTTGATGTATGTGGTATGGTATATACAAAATGATCTAATAAGTAGATACGCATTATAAATTTCACAATTACCTCGCTTCAATGGAGGTAACATCTGCAGCACATTTATCAGACCTGTATATTATCTTCTTGGCACCAGAACTTAGGATTTTTTTGCTTTTGAAAACCTTTTTGTTACATTTGATGTGGGCATAATAATACCAGGAATAGTCCAAGTCAATGGACAAAATGGAACAGATTATTTTGACCTTTTCAACCTTCGAAAATAACAATAAGTCTCTTAAGTTAGCTCAATAACATTCTAATAAACAAAGAGAGTCAGAAAATTATGATGTATCATTATACCTCAAATGAGGCCTTAAGCTCTGCAATAGTCTTCCGCTCAAATTGTTTAGATCTCTCTTCACGCACCCTGAGAGGCTGAAATCTTGGTTTAGGTTCCATGATTGTCAAGGCAAGCCCATCAGATGGAAGTCTGAAAAAAAGAGAATTAGTTAGAGTTCCAATCTCGTTCATATAGGTCAACAGTTACAACGTATAGAAGTTTGTTCAACACTCACAGTTTCTTAAAGTCATCAACCTCTGTCAAGACAGGGTTTATTAAAACTTCTGAAGCGTCAAAAGCATTAGAAATACTCCTTATTTCTGAAAACATAAGGGTTAACAATCAGACCTTTTTTTGGCACGTAATATATAAGGTTATAAAACTTTAAGGAAATGCTATACCTTTGTAATGACCCAGCTTGGCCCATCTGATCAAACAAATCACGATCCCACCAATAGTCTCCTTTGATACTTTGTTACATCTATATAAAGAGTAATATACAACATCAATATATGCGAGTAATAACTAATTAACAATATACACAGACTAAAAGAGTTCAAGATTAGATTTTACTCACCAACCAGCTTGTTTTGATCTAAAGTCCCACTTAGCACATCATTAAAATTCACCAAATCAAGCCAAATCTCGTCTGAAATAGATGGCGAGTTGGAGATGCTAGTAGAGCTCTGGAAATTTATTCTGTATGGATGTGTTGTTGATCGATATTGTCCCGTTGCCTTAGTCACTGAAAATTCCACGATGATTTTCCAGTCTCCTATCTTCACATACCTCTGTAGTTAAGTAGATGTTCTTTCTTAATTCCTGCTTGAATTTTGTTTCCCTATAATAGCATAAGAAAACGTGAAGGCAAGAGTTGAAAACAATAAAAGACAACCATTAAGATTACAGACAACTTGTTATTCGAAAATACTTACATCCTCATCTGCTCAAATCATTTCATAAGACATCCCAGAACCCTTGGAATAATGCTTCCACGCATGAAGAATTTTAACTTGAATACACCAAGAGGTTTTTAAAAGTTTTAAGTTTTTGATAGCTGTGTAGGGACTCACTTCATCCATTTTGCTTGGTTTTGCAGTGAGTAATGAGCTGGTTTATGAGAGAGGACACAGATATCGTGAAGGTATTCCTACTCTAGACGTTTATTTATAATAAGTGATGGACGGATTAGATAGATAGAGATCTTCCATTTGATAAGTTTGTTAGCATAAATCAGTTAGTGAAATATTTTGGTAGAAAGAATATTATCTGTTATATGGAATATTATCTGTTAACAGCAAGATATGGTGATAGGAATGGATATTTAATATTTTCGTTTAGATTTTGGAGATTTTGTATTAAAGGAAACTATTTTGATTATCGAAGAAAAATATGGTAAACCCGTTTGATTATCCATTTACCCGCGTGATTAATAGATGGATACTGTTGTTAAATGACTTTGCTAACCTTAATGATGTGAAACGAATTTGACGTTGAATAGATTTTTCTAATGGCATTGTCATGTAATTAGTTAACAAAATTAAGGTTAGTTTCTTAAACGTACTCCCCAAATAATAGAGTAGGATTTGTAAAAGGTATATCCTAGATATATTCTAGATTAGTAGAATATAGAATCGTAACATATATAACAAAGAGATTTGACAATATTTTTAAAAGATTTTTAGGAAACTAACCTAAACCATTTTATCTTAATATAACTATTTGTTGATAACAAAGATTTTAAGGAAACTGAAAATATTCACAAAGATTACGAAATGTAGTAAAACACGAATTCGAATTTTAACTTTTGTTTCAGTATAATTCGAATAATACCTTTTTCGAACTATATACATGAAAATAATAGTTTATTGATAAATTCGAATTATATAACATTTTTCAATGATATAACATTTTAAATTTTGAATTTTACATTTTGAATAACATTTTCATTTTCAAATAATGGATTAGTATATAACATTTTCAATAACATTTTCGAACTATATGAGTATTATAATTCAAAATAGCATTTTTTATAAAGTCTAATTGATATAAAATGTTTTCAATGATATATCATTTTCATTAACATTTTTGTGTCACATTTTCGAATTATATATTAGTATACAACATTTTTACTAATTGTGTTACATTTTCGAATTGATTAGTATATAACAATTTCGAATTATATTAATTGTGTAATATAGTTATTATCGAAAAATATATGAATTATATGAATTATATAAACAAAATCTTTTAATATCTTTAAACCCGTTGACCCGTTAATATATATTAGTGACATGGAATAAAATTTTATGATTAAAATTCCTTAATGGCATATATTGTAATTTCTTACAAAATCAAGTTATGATCCTTAGGATGTACTTCCCAAATATTAGTATAGGATTCTTTTCAAACATGTGATCCTTTTCCACCACCATGTATTAAACATGATTTTAGTTTTTATTTAATTTATTTTAATTTTATTTTTTAATAATAATAATTTCAATTATTCTTTTATTTCGGAAAAATCATTTTGAACTTTGCAAATTTTATATGTCGTGGTACAAATAGGTACACATGGTACAACTATGTTTAATTTAAAATTTGCAACTAAAAAAATTTAAAAATTTAAAAAGTCATCTATTTCTATGTTAGTGAATGCAAACATTAAGAAATATCATATTTTAACATATATGACTATATTGTTACTTTTATGGTTCATTTGTATAGTAAATATTCATTACACTTTGATTGTTACTTTGTAAATTTTAACCAAGTAATTAGTGTTAGATTTAGAGAAAAGATTAGAGTGTGAAAAAGAATATCTCATTTCTTATATTTATTTAGAAACTAGATACACATAGGCATGTCAATCGGGCTAGCCCGGCCCGGCCCGGCCCGGCCCGGCCCGAAGCCCGCAAAACCCGTACATATTTGAACCCAGCCCGGCCCGGCCCGTAAAAATTCCGAGCCTATATTTTAAAGCCCGGCCCGGCCCTAACAGGGCTACAGGGCTTTTTCGGGCTTTTTTGGGCTTTTCTTCCGACAACAAAAAAAAAATTATAATTATAATATCTCTTAAAAAAGAATCTATATATAAAACGAGTCAATCAAAATTTAAATAACCACTAACGCTAATTTAGTTTTTTAAAAAAGAGTTAAAATCAAATAAATAATCCAAATAAATTGTTTAAACTTATACTAGATAAAATATAAAATCATAATAATTCAAATTAGGTAGTAGAGCTAATATTTGCTTTTTCGATTTATAGTAATACATAACAAAAAAACTATGTTTAGGGTTTTCAACTCTATCAAAAACTTTTTTTACAACAAATCTTACAATTAAACGAAAATATTAACAAAAAAAAATCAAAATATTTTTTAAAGGGCTTTTCGGGCTAGCCCGAGCCCGGCTGGGCTAAGCCCAAAAAACCCTTTAGCCCGAACGGGCTTAGCCCGAAAAGCCCGATTTTTTCTGGACATATATTTTCAAGTCCGAGCCCGCTGTTTTTCAGGGCTGGGCCGGGCTAGCCCGCGGGCTTTGGCCCTAATTGACATGGCTAGATACACACTAAATATAAACACCACAAAACAAATGAATATGCTATACAAGATTCCATACACACTACTTTATCTTGAAGGTGACGTGTCCTATTTTCCTTCACACAAAAAGTGACAGCTTCCTCAACACAACAAGTGATAGTTGACTAAATGCTCCCACTTGCTACTTTGATATTCTTGCCCAAAGGTCATATTGGGAGGATCTAGAAACCTTGGCTTCTTTTCTTTTAAATCTTATCCGAACTAATAATTATGTCAAACATACAAACAACATATTTAATAAATATTATTATATGAAATTTTAGTAATTGTATTTTTATTACCTAATATCAAAAGTACAAATACAAAAACTAAATTTAAACTAAAGTACTACTGATTATTAGTTTAAAATACCAAAGTACAACTGTGTTCAGACTCATACAACTACCATCTTGAGTAAAACTCTTTAGAAAATTTGGAAATATTTAACTATTTTTTTTTAAACATGTGGTTTTTTTCTAGCAACATGTGTATGTTTTACGGCGCCATGTGTTAAACATGATTTAAGTTTTTTAATTTATTTGAATTTTATTTTTTAGTAATACTGTGAAGTAGATAATAATTTCGATTTGAAAAACGAAACATAAACCTAATTCTCTCCCACCTCTCTCCTCTTTCAAACAAAAAGCCGCCGTCTTGTTCTCGGCCAACGTCCGGTGGCTTTACAGCCCCGGCGTTGTGCCTCGCGTGTGTCTTTAGTTGTTTTTTCTTCTTTCTTTAGTATCGTTCTCATCGGCGTTGTAGTTTTCGAGTGGTTTTGGCTTCTCTCGACGAGATCGGAGGCGGAGTTACTCTGTTCAAGGTGTAGTTCCGCTAAAGCTTTCGGAGTTTCAGTTGTCTTGCTCGATCTACCTCTTGTGTTTGGTTCCGTTTCGCCATGGATTCGTTTTCTATTGCTGTTTTGTCGGAGTCTCGCTCAACCATTGCAGATCCAGATCTGGTCCGTCGCGGGGGTCGATGGTGCTTGTCGGAGTGGTTTCTTATGTGGGGATGGTGGTGTTGATTTCTTGACTGGTAATTGATTTCAATTTCTTCAAGTCAAGCTTGTTTGGTATATCCCCGGTTTGCTTGTTGGTGGCCTTAGTTATTGTTCGTGTCTTAGTTTGTGGGTTAGTTGCTCTGGATGGCGGTTTCTTCTCCTGATTGTTTTGGAATTCTCAGAGTCTTCTTTTTGTGGGGTTTTTGTCTGTTCTGTGGTTGGATCTTGTTTGAGTGAAGTTTCGGTTCTGGCCATTATTTCTCTGCCTTGGTGTTGTGTTTTGTATCGTTTGTCCTGGAAAATCTCTCGTGTGGTGAGACGGACTCGATGCCTTTTGCCATTGGCTCTTTGCTCATCTTCTTTGGTTGGTTCTTCTGTCTCATCAAGATTTGTTTCGTTTGGAGTTCGTGGGTCGCTATTTTGCCATCTTATGCGGTATCTCTTCCACTTGAGGTTATCGTCTTCTCGGGGTTGGTTTGGAACGTTTAATACTACCCAAAGCTCTATCAATTCTTTCAGCTGAGAGAGGAGCTATTCATGGGTTTTGATTCGGTTCCTCTCCACAAGACAAATAAGGCATTTATTGTGCGTCGATCCCTTAGCTTCAAGTTCAGGCCTTTTCCTTTGAGACTCTTGTGATTTCTAGTTAATTCAATCATTGGAGGTTTATCGGTTAGTTTTCTAAGTTTAGCTTATGGTCTTGTAATTGGTTGTTTGTTAGCTTCCCTCTTTTGGGCTATTGTCTTCGGGGATATCACTATTTTCCGCCGACTCATCTTATCGGGGATATTAACTCTTTCCGCCGATCTTTGTATCTTTCGAAGGTTTAATATGATTATTCAGACGAAAAAAAAAAAAAAGATAATAATTTCGATTTTTCTTTTAATCCGGAAAAATCATTTTTAATTTTGTAAATTTTATATGTCGTGGTACAAATAGATACACCCTGGTACAACTAAGTTTTAATTTAAAATTTGCAACTAAATTTTTTAAAAATTTGAAAAAAGTCACCCATTTCTATGTTAGTGAATGCAAACATTAAGACATATCATATTTTAACATACATTACTATATTGTTTTCACTTTTCAACATGCATAATCATCACACTTATCTATACAATTATGAATACTCGTTGTAAAAGTGAAACGATTATCTGGTGATTTTATATCGTAGTCATCATAATAATCTATGTAATTAGTATCATTAGAGTGGGTGATTAATAATTTTGTATTGATCTTATACTTTATCACATGATCAAATCATTTGGGGGTTTGACATTTCCGTAAGTAAACTTATGTAACCACAGTTTTTTCCCTTGCTCCTTGCTTTTAAAATGCGATCTTTATTTAATAGTACTATTGATCAATAGAAATCAGCTTTAGCATTAGAACTGAAATGACATATTGAAAACCTAGAGAATATGAATCCTTCTTCCATTGATTTCATGATTTTCTATATTAACTCTCACTGAAACCCAAGTTTTCATTCGGCCAATCACTTGATATGTAATATTTGCAGGTATCATGAAAATTATCCCTAAAGAAAGTTGTGGAGTGTAAAAAAGTTAACGAGTCGTCGGGACTTGGGACATATTAATGACACACGTAATGATTATCAAGTAGATAATCAAATACTTATTGATGATAAGAACTTATCAAAATGTTGACTTTTGATAATCGAACAAAGTGGGCAACAACAATTTAACAAGTCATTACTCATTAGACACTCACAAGAACCCAAATAGCTGCTTTTTTCTAAATGCTGTTACAAGTTAAATTATTATACTTTTTGTCAACACTAATATTATATTTACCGAAATACTAACAATATTTAGAGTGGGATAAAAAACAATAATTCATGGTAAGAAATGTCAATAGCGATAGAACAAGATAAAATGATTATATAAAGCTATCATGATCGTCACATTCAGAAACACCATGTGACTCCCTTTTTTGTGTCACCATTTCTTCAGGGCTCTTATCTATTCCTAAATAACGTCCATACTATATATTAAATGTTTGTGTTTTTATGTATAGTTTCGTTACTACGACTAATGTATGAACAGCGTTAACATTCTATTATTCAGCAACGGAATATTGGTCTAATCATTTGTATTTCTCAATAATTAGAATGATTTTTCCTATATTTAAATATTTGTTTCGTCTACTTGTCCAAGAGACACGTTTTTTTGTAGTATATACTAGTCGTCCACAACTAAAATTTCATGTGCTTAATTAAAATTGATTAAATAATTAACCGAATTCAATTCCTAGACTTCTTAAAATGGTTAATCTATTGCAATAGATTAATTATAAAAACATTGAACGTCTATTTTAAGTTAGCGTACCTAGATATCGTTAGATCCATTAGTTTAGGGGCTATTGTATTCTTTTAGTTCTTCGTGTATCTGGGTAATAATAAATAGTTATGGAACAGCCGTTTGGTCCAAATATATATATATATATGGAACAGCCGTAGAAATTTCGTTTTCTGTACTTTTTGTAGTCTAACTCACGTATTGTATTACATTATTTATGTACAACTAAAACCAAAGATGTAAAATACGCTATACACCCAAAAATGTGGATGTGTAAATTGTAGAAAACAACATAATACGCGACTATATACACTAGTTAGGCAGATCACCGTGCCTTCGTTTAATTGATCACAAGTATGTTAAATGAAATAATGAATAATGGAAATGTGGAAAAATGATGGAACAAGGAAAACACTTGAAGAACTAAATTGAACTAAATTGGTAAAAACTTAAAAAAACACGTAATTTTTCAATCATTCCGCAAGTTATCAATCATATCCTAGTAGATTAAAATATATTCATATTGATTTGTAGTTCACTTTTAAACAACACATCAATTTTCCAATCCTAGGTATCTCATTTGATAAATTGGAAAACAACATTTTCCTTTTGAGTTTTGATATCTCAAATCTCTCTGATATCTTTATCGTTCTTTATAATTTTATGACACTTTCTAGTACATTTATCTACCCGAAGAAATGAAATCATTGATTAGTGACCGGCAAAAAGTGGAATGATTCCACAATAGTACAAGTTGTTATCAACCACAGTTTTTATTAGAATCGCTTTATCCATCCATCTATTCTTTCTTGTGATTATGTAAAAAATTGATCTATTGTAAAAACTGTTCCACTTTAAAAAATAAATAAAAAATTCATAAAATCAAACTTCTTAATTTCACTATCATTGCATTGCACCATCTCGTGTTTGTGTTTCACTTTCTACGAATAAGTGAACTAGAGAAGTGATTATGATGTGTGTTTACAAATTAGAACAAAACATAAAAAACTAGGAGCATAGCCAATAAACTACTACGGCTCTATAGAAACTGGTGGCCCAAAAAATAACGGTGTGACGTGGTGCATGAGGGAAGATCCGAGGGCTGACGCTGACGGTGACGGTGGGGGCATGTTATAGTGAATGAACGGTCGAGATGAGAGCCATGAATGCAGGGGTGTGGTCAGACCAAGCTCACATGGACGAACGTGCCTTTTTATTCTCTTTGCCACATCAGCAACTGTTTCTACTCCAAAGCCAAAATCGGTTTCCGATTATTGGATCTGAAACCGGTTCCGATGTGTCCTACGACGTTGTACTCTTGTCAGAAACTAATTAATTTATGAATAGTGTTAATTTCGTGAGTCAACAATAATTGTTGGGGAAATGGGTGGGTCCATTAATCTATTGTCCTAATTAACTCCTAATCATTCATTGTATTGTCTATTTAGAAAGGGAAATTTCAGAAAACATAATTTGAGATTTTTAAATAGACCGACAAATGTAAACGATTGTGAATTTTGTATTTTTTTTTTTTGGTTGGAAGTGAATTTTGTATTTTGAAAAGCTATATAATGTTTTAATCAACACCCTAATAGTCTCCCACAGCTGACACATCAGCTTTTTGGTGTTACCAGAGATTGACACCTCAGTTAAAAGGGATAACCAATAGAAATATAACAATTAATAGAGATCAGCATAATTAATTTGGCCACATCATTTTCTTAGTTTTGGAATGGGCTTGGGTTGAAAATAGAAGATGAGAATTGAAACCCAAATAATTTAATAATTTTTGTTAAAATAATTTTCTCAATTTTTTTGTGTTTGATTTCTGATGAAGTTTTGCCGGATTCGTATCGACCTTTCGTTGAATCGAAAAAGAGTTGATGCTTGAAGCTAAGATTCTGCATCGGGTTTTGGAAGAGAAGTAGTGCGGCTGATATATATATAAGATATGCGCTTGCATCAAATGTTTTCTTAGGGCGTATAAGGAGAAGAAACAAAGCCGTACAAAAAGGCTCTTCCTGAGCGAAACCTCCATTATCGTTTTATCTGTCTCTCTCAAAAGATATAACCAGAACAACTGCATAAGGTAATTATCAAAGCTATAAAATTATTCGAAGATAAATTTTCCAATTTTAATCCCTTTTTTTTTGGTGTTGTTTGTATGTTTAGCTAGGCGTTAAATATGAGAAGTAGGTGGCGTAACTGGCGTTGATTCGCTCTTCCCTTAGATTCAACTCGAAGATGTTCTTCAGCAACTGAATCTTATTCAACCTGAGATTTTGAAAAGGGTCAGATCGATTTCTTTTGGGAGGTGAGTAGACAGATAGATAGAAATGGATGAGGTAGGTTGAATTTGAAATCTCTGACTTGAATCTGGAGAGAAATCTCACAGTAGAGTTGAAGAAGTCTTGTAATAGATCATCAGGATTAAACACTCCAACACGGAAGAGAAGGCTAGCTTGTGATAGTGGTCACGGACAAGGAAGTAGCTTTACGAGTCCAGTGTCAAGAAGATTAGACGGTGCGAATAGCGCTCCTTGGTGAAATGCTTAGTGCCTAGCGCCTAGGGCCATGGCGCTCTAAAGGCAACGCCTTAAGGATAAACATATTTCATAGTCCTAAGAAGTAATAAACCAACAATGCACTGAATCTGACATAAAAGAACTTGAAATCCAAACATTGAAATTGGAACATTTAATCCAAAATAACAAAACACCCAAAACTGGAACAAAGAACTTGAAAAGCAAAACACTTAATAAAAAACACATAAAACTCTAAAATTCTTAGTTAGAAAGTTTGTTATTATACTGAAATTAGGTCACCAAAGCCGTGAAAGGAGAGAACTTAGTTAGAAAAATCTGTTTTTATACTTTTAAGGAAATTAGGGTTTTAATTCAATAAGGAAATCGGTCAAACTTAAAAGGCACCGCTTTTGCCTCGCCTTAGATCATCGCTTTTTAGTCAAAAGCACTCGCCATGGGACGCCTAGAGGACGCCTAGAGGATATGGCATCGCCATAGGTCATGTATGCGTTTTGGCCATCGCCTTAGAGCGCCTAGCGCAATGGCAATGCAATTGCGCTATTTTTTAAACACAAATGACCCGAGTGGTAGCAACGGATCTGCATTCTCTCTATTGAAACTTGGTAATGCTGTAGAGAAACCAAAGAGAAAAGAGGAGTTCACCGTGTTCCAAATCAGATGGGCCAAAGAAACCCAAGAACATCATTTACGAAAAGGCCTTAGCTTGATGTAGGTACTATGGGGTTG